TGGAGTTACAGCATTTTTGAAGCACAGAGTAGAGTAGGGTAATGAGCTTCCGAGAGGAGCAGAATATGGATTCAAATCCTGACCCTGTGTGACCTTTTCTGGGGAATGGGGCTTCTCTGTGCCTCAGCTACCTCTCCTGTAAACTTGGGATGATTACAATACCTACTTCACAGATCTAGCACGTTAATATAATAAGCACCATTTAAGCGCTAGCAACTGTTACCAGAAAAGAAAAGAGTCCTGGTAGCAAGCATGCAGATATATTCTTAGCTCTCAGCAAAGTAGGTTATGGTATAAAAATACCATTAAATAGTAACTAAACTAGCATCACCTTAATGCACATCTTGCCAGCAATCTCAGCATGTGCGACTTCTTTTTAAACTACCCTACATTAAGGAATCAAGACCAGGAGGACTCTTGCTGGCCTCCTGGGAGCCAGGCCGGAAGGCAGAGGCCCACCCAACTCACCCCTTCCCCACCTCAGGCCAGGCACTGGGGACACAGTCATGGGCAGAGGACCGGACCTCCGCCTCTCTGTGGGTAAGCTGTCCAGCACATCAGATGGAGCAAAGTGCCAGGGAGAAGACAAGTTGGGGGGGAGGGGCACGGAGGCGTAGGGAGGCAAAAGGGGAGGGGTGGAGGGCGTCTGGGACAGCCTGCGGAGCAGCCCAAGGGAGTAAGCTATGAGGGGTCAGGGGAAGAGGGGCAGCCTGGCCAAGGCCTCTGAGGCAGGGAGTGCCTGGTGTGCTCTGGGGAGGGAGAAAGCAAATACAATGATCCCTCCTCCTCCATTCCTCTCTTCCCTGGCAACCGGCTCAGAGCTTGGAGACTCAAAAATTGATTTTCTCTGAATTTCCTAAGTTTATCTATTAACTACCTAGCAGGCCATTCGCTGGTTCACAGTGTGCCTCTCGGCAGAAGGCATCCGCCAGCTGACAGTGATGCCCCCGCCAGCACTCAGGCCACACACGCCCCAGGATACAGCCTGCTCTCTGGCGACTGGGGTACCACTGGATGGAGTCAAGGACATATCAAGGTCAGTTTTGGGCCTATCTGAGGTTTAGTGGGAGAGGTGGAAAGGGTAGGAGATGCCCTGGACTGGAGTTCAGGGGCTCTTCTCGCTTCCTGGGCTTGGGCAAGTTGCCAGCCTTTCCTGAACTTCAGTTCTTTGTCTGTAAAATGGGGCTGGGGAGAAGGGCCTTTCTGGACAATTCGAATCAAATAAAATCAAACATTTAAAGTAATGTACACATTAGGTGTTGTTACAACATGGCCCACAAGCCCTAGCTGCCATCTCCCCCAGAAAAGGAGGGGCCCATGAACCCCTGAAATGATATCCAAAACCTCGTGGGAGATGCTTTTTTCTAGGGAGATCTCCATGTTTGAAAAGAGACAACTCCCCAAAAATGGAAGATTCATGAGGATGAATACAAAATGTGAGACCTCTTCCTACCCGACAAACGGTCGACACTGACAACTTGTCAACACTGACAACCTACCAACCCTAGGAATGGCAGCATCCAGGGGAAGGGGCGGCCCCCACACTGCTGTGCGAGTGGACACAGCAGGGAGAGTGGCGGCACCTACAGAGAGACAGGCGGACCCTCCTTGGCAGCCCCACTGCCAGGGACACACCTTAAAGAAACTCTCACACCTGCACCCCAGACGCACTCAGGGCCCTGGCCGTGACGGTGCTGGCCACAGTGTGCTGGTGACAGTGGAACACAGGAGACAACCTAGATTTCCGCTGGGAGAGGGGCAGGCAGGACAGAGTTCACACTACAGGTCGCCATGCAGGAGCCCGCAATTAAACACATCAACAAGCACAGGTGTCAACAAGACTGCTGAGTGAAAAGTACAAGTTCCAGGTTTTTTACATAAAGTTAAGAAAAACACCCACACAAAAGAATCCTCTATATTAGTGATGGATACTTATATCCATGTGTAAATGTACCCAAAAGAGCCTCGGAGGAAAAAGACGAAAGCAGTAGTTGGAAGAAAATGGGTTACTTAATATTTCTTTGTAATACTTCTTATAATTTTTTGTAAAAAAGGACTTAAAGCCAAAATGACAAAAGATTAACCATTTTCAATTCTGGGTAGAAGAGATACTATGTTCATTTTATTATTCCTGGGATTTTTCTGGATTTTTAAAGTTTATCGAATATAAAAAAATTAAAACTGCACTGCTGGCTGGGCCATGCCGGGCTGAGGGCTTCCCTGCCTTGCTCTGTAACTGCTCCCACATGGGCCACCAGGCTAGTGTCTGTGAGAACTGTCAGGCTGAGCAGGGAAGGGCACACACTCCCTATAGAACTGGGCAGGGCAGGGCCCCAGAAAGCGGCTCCTCTTGGCTGGCTGACCCTGCTGCCCAGGCCTCCGGGGAAGATTCGGGAGCAGAGACAGCAGAAAAGGATGGGGCAAGGGAGGGGAAAGGCCAGTGGCCTCGTCACACATGAGCAGCTGTGGGCCTGAGGCCAAGTCCTTCCTTTGGGCAGGGAGCTCAGTGAGACCTGACTGGGTGCCAGTGGCTGCAGCTTTAAATAAACTTGGACATGTCCACCTGAGGCCAGGAAGCAACACCAACTGTGCCCCGGGCAGGCACTGTCAACAACCAGCCAACATATCAACCAAGGGACCCCAGCGCTGCAAAAGGGCTGAGTGCCCACAACTGAGCCCTGGCCTCAGACATCCCCCTTGGGTGCCCTGCTCTGCCCTCCCCGCTCCCTGACCCACCTCTATGGCACGGCTGCACCCCCTAGGAATCAGTCCCTTCCCTACCCCAGAGCCGCCACAGCATGGCAGTGGCAGGCCTTTGGCGTCCCCAGGGACTCGGCGCCTAGCAGGGCTCCAGAAAGGTGCACTGCGCTGAGCTGCCAGCTCCTGGCTTGGGCATCTCCTCTTGTCCCAGGTCACGGGGTTCCCCTCGATGCCAGGATCCAATCCTCACCTCGCACTGCATGGCTCCCAGTGCTTTCGCTCAGGAGGCCACACTCCCTTCCAGCAGCGGCTCATTCTCCGGCTTCAGAGAGAAGCCCAGCAGTCTTAGCCCCACCTGGTCTCCACCTCTGGAGCCACCTCTCTCAACCTCCCCCAGGCAGCCCCAAAGACCTTCACTCCCCAGTGTGGGTGGCACTGGCCAGGACATCCAGCTGTGCTGGAACTGGAGGCTCAGTGGGGAGCTGGCCACCCTGACACTGCCGCTGGATGCAGGGAGGCTCGCAGCAAAGGGGAGCAGGAACAGCCAGAGTGAGCTGCAGGCTGAGGACACTGGGGTACATGGGAAGGTCTTGAAAGTGGCTTCTTTGGGGAAGACCAGGGACACCTGCTGTGAGGGCCTCTGTGCTTCTGGGCACAAGCAGAGAAGACAACAAGAAGGCCCCTGAGGAAAGACTGACTTCCCACTGCTGCTCTCTTCCTCCGAGAACCAGGCACATTAACTGCTACCCACCTGCCCTTCCAGCGGCCAGGACACCTCTGGAGGCCAAGAGGACAGGCAGGGGTAGATCTGTGCATCTGAGGGGTGAAGACGGGGGAGCCAGACACCCACTCAGGGATCCCCATGAAGGGGGCTGGCCCTGACCCCTCCCCCGAGGTCTCAGCTCTGGGGTGCTCTCCAGACCCATCCAAGGAAGGGTCCCCCAGCCGGCCTGGCCCCTCACCCCACCGATCCAGCATGGGCTTCTTGCACAGGGCTGAGCGCCACATCTCCACCCCCTACCCAAATCCTCTCCACACGTGCAGGGAGAAGTGGGGAATGAACACACCCCCACACTCCTCCAGCTCCGCACTCCACAATTATCAATGATCAGCGTCCCTCACCCACCACAAGGTTTCACCAGACACTTATTTAGTAAAGGAAAAAAAGGATCAGTGCTGGATGTGTAAGAGGAAATCTCGCCAGCACCGCCAGCGCCCCCACCGCCTGCACTGAAGGGACGGAGGAGGATGGGGGAGGACGGAGGAGGATGGGGCTCTGGCCCAGTCAGGCTGGAGATTCGGGAGTTCTGAAGCTAGCCCTGGGGATGCCAGGTGCAGCCACCTTGATTCTCAGACGGGAGACCCCAGGCCAGACAGGAGGCCCCTGAGGCGTTCCCCATCTCTGACCCCAGGGGCAAAGCCGGGTCTGGGGGACCCCAAACCAGACCTTCGCCCCACACTGCTCATACTGCTGAGCAGAGAACGGGAGCCACAGCACCTGTTCCCCGTGAGGTCCCAGTTCAAACAAACCTTCAAAGCCCCTTCCCCTTTAGAGTGCCCCCGCCAACGGTCCAAAATCCAGCCCCCACCCACCTCGATGACCCTGAAATTTGCAACCCAATCAGGATCTTAATCTCTCCCCCCTATCCCCATGACCTGATCCAGGCTCCCTGACCTCGTCCTCCCCACACCTCCAAATTCCTGTTTCCAGAAGAATCTGGGGGAAAATCCTCCAGAACCCAGATTCCCCAGGAGACCTACAGCAGAGGCTCTCCCACGCCGGCACCCCCCGCGCGGATGGGGCCACGCGCAGGAGCAGGCGCAAGCAGGTCCCGCCACCCCCGCCGCCTGCCGCTCGGGTGGGGGTGGGGACAGCGTGCCCGCGTCGGGGACGACCCTCTGGGGCCGCAGCCGACCCCTCCTGGCGCTCCAGGCCCGGCGGCCGCCCCCGCGCGCCCCTCCTCTCTGACCTCCCCGCCGCCAAATGCGTCACGTCTGCCGGGAGCTCCGGGGACACCTGCTGCCGCCCCCGCCGCGCCAAGTCGCGAGCCCAGAGCCCCGGCCCGGCAGCCGCGCTGGGCAGAGCTGGAGAGGGCCGCGCGCGCTGAGGTCCGGCGACCGGGCCCGGGGCCTGGGGCTCGGGGGTCGGGGCCGCGCGGGGCCGTGCGCTTGGGCCCGGAGCCCAGAGAAGCCGGCAGCGCGCGGGGCCGCAGTGCGCCCGGAGCCGGCGGCGCTGAGGGTCCCGGAGGTCCCGGCCCTCTGGGGTCCCCGGCCCAGCCCGCGCGTGCCGCAGCTCTTACTTGCCAATATCCTCGTAGAGCTGGTACTCGTCGGTGAAGCGGGTGCAGGTCACCGTGGTGGCCATGGCGGCGGCGGACGGGCTCGGCGTGCGCTCGGCTGCGCTCGGGCGGCGGCGACTTCGGCTCCCGCTCGCGGGCACGGCGGCGACACGGGCGCGGGCGCGGGAGACACCTCGGCTCGCGGCGCCAGGCGGGGGCCGGGCTGGGCTGCGCCTGGCGGCGAGCGCACGCGAGATCTGCTCGCTCCGTCCTCGCCAGGAGCGCGCCGCACACCTACGCGCGGGGAGGCGCGGGCGCCGCTGTCACCGCCGCCGCCGCCGCGCCCGCCCCGCCCGCCCGCCCGCCGCCCCCTGCACGCGCCTTCCCCGCGCCCTGCACACGCTGCTCCTGCACCCGCACCCGCACGGAACCCGCGCCCTGCATCTGCACACGCGCCCTGCACACACACCCGTGACCCGCACCCGCAACGCACCTGCACCTGCACCTGCACACACACGCGCGCCCGCCTCCGCCCGCCTCCGCACCCCGCACACACACCCGCGCCCTGTACTGACGCCTTCATTCTGTACCCGCACCACGCCCGCACCTGGCGCACGCAAGCCACTTGCTGCTGGCGACCCCTCTCTCTCACATAACACAGAAGAGTGCACATAATGAACGCAGCCTCCTCTCTCCCTCAAAGGCCCAACTAGCCTGACAGCAGGAGGGGACTGGGGCCCACATGGAGGCCGAGGGCTCATGTGCTGCCCTCCACAGGACTCATTCCTCACACCCTCAGGAAGAGATGCTGCCAGATCCCTCCTGCCCAGTCTCCATCAGCCACACATGTCACAAAGGCTGCCTGGCCAGGAGGAGCCGCCCAGAAGGCCGGACATACACACTGGGACACTAGCGTGAGAAAGTGAAGGGGTGGGGCCTGCTCCCTCACCTTGGTCCCAGCCGCTCCCTTCCCCCTCACTTCTCCAGAGAACGGTTGCTGGGGTGTCTGGAATGGAGGTCCCAGGAGGCGACATTCGGAGTCCAGGCCAAGGGACCCTGAGCCAGGGAAACAGGGGCTGCTCCATCAGCAATTTGGGGGGCCTGAGAGCTCATAACCACCCTGCTCAGGTAAGGGTACACATTCTCCCCTTTTCCAGCATGGTCCACCTGTCTGCCCCCTGCTTTTGCCTAGAGGAAGAGAGCCCACACACCCCAACCTCCTCTTGAAAGCAGTCCTGGAGGCCAAGGAGGAGAATAGTGCAGGGAAGCAGGCAGGAGGCAGGGCCGACCCGGTTTCCCACAAAACAGCCTTCCCTGAGGCCTGGCACCAGGGCTGCTGTCCAGAACCAGGACTTTAGACCACTGGGCTCCAGCATCCCCACACTCTCCTCTGACAAGGTCTATCCTGGGCAGGCTCTGAGGAGGGGGTTTCCAGCAGCCAGCTCTGGATTTGGGTCACGCTGCTGCCCTGACATGACCTCCTTACTGCTCCTCAAGGACCAATTCTGGGCCTATCCTGCTTATCCCTCTCACCTCGTGGCCAGCCCAGAGCAAGCCCCAGCAGCCACAATAAATGTTGTGTGGATAAGGGAGGGGATAAAGGGATTCTGAGTGCCGGCAGCCAGGGCCCTTCTGGGCCAGGATGCATTTGGCATAAGACTGCTGGGCAATTAGTAGACCACACGGCAACAAGTCCCTGCCATCGACCCACCTGCACCCAGAAGACACTAGAGGACAAGAAACTCTCAGGCCAAAGGCAAATGCTGGGCCACCTGGGGAAGTCCCCAGCTGAGGAGGCAGAGGGATCCTGACCTTGACTTCAGCAGGACCATAGCAGGAAGGGAGACCCCATCCATGTCAGACTTGGACTCAGAGAACCCTGGGCCATCCTAACAGACAGACTGGCATGGACTCGAGAAAGGACTGGAGGCCAAGTCTGAGGTTTGTTCTTGGCGTTGTGTTTAACCCCACAGGAGTTTCTTCCAGCACCTGCTGGAAGCATCCGCACTTTCCCTTTCTGAGCTCTGGAAAGACGAGGTAGGGCCACACAATAGAATACAAATAACAAGCCAAGCACAGTGGCTCACGCCTGTAATCCCAGCACTTTGGGAGGCCAAGGTGGGTGGATCACCTGAGGTCAGGAGTTTGAGAGCAGCCTGGCCAACATGGTGAAACCCTGGCTCTACTAAAAATACAAAAATTAGCCAGGTGTGGTGGCCCATTGCCTATAATCCCAAATGAGAATCGTTTCTACCTGGGAGGTAGAGGTTGCAGTTAGCTGAGATCAAGCCACTGCACTCCAGCCTGGGTGACAGAGCAAGACCCTGTCTCAAGAAAAAGAATACAAATAACAAGACAAACAAAAGAAAATTGCACCCCTCTGTAAGTTGGACTCTTTCCAGGCTACTATGAAACCACACACACTCCTACCGGCATGTCCAGGAGATGATAAAGTGGTGCTGGCATCCTAATGACAGCTGACACTGATTGTGCAGTTTACATGTACTATCTCATTTAATTCTGAAACAATCCTATTAAGCATGTACTATTATTATCCCCATTTTACTAGATGGGATAATGGAGAGACAGAGAGGTACAGTAATTTACCCACAGCCACACAGCCATGGAATGACTATGACTCAAATCCCAGTGTCCCATAAAACCTCCTTTGCCTTCCACACACACACACACACACACACACACACAAACACACACATACCAACAAACACATCCATACAAACAGACCCACACTTACACAGCTTCCTGGAGCCCTGAGTGGTGGACACGGCAGCACACGCGGTAGTCTTTTATAAGGTCATCTTTCTTGGTTTTTGTTTTTTGTTTTGTTTTTTGACATGGCGTCTCACTCTGTTGCCCAGGCTGGAGTGCAGTGGCACAGTCTCAGCTCACTGCAGCCTCCATCTCCTGGGCTCAAGCAATTCTCCTGCCTCGGCCTCCCGAGTAGCTGGGATTACAGGCACCTGCCACCCTAATTTTTGTATTTTTAGTAGAGATGGGGTTTTGCTATATGGGCCAGGCTGGTCTCAAACTCCTGACCTCAGGTGATCCACCCACCTCGGCCTCCCAAAGTCCTGGGGTTACAGGCATGAGCCACTGCACCCGGCTGAGGTCATCTTTCAAAAGTTGAGAAGCTGCCCAGGACCAGGGTTACACAAGAATGTGGGGTCACTAAGAGATGCAATGTGAGATTCATTGTATCCTGTACTTCTCCCCGCCTTTTGTACCTGTTAGCACCTGGGACCCCCAGGCAGTCCCTCCTCCGAGCTGAAGTATTAGAGGTATGAAGTGGAGCTACCCTGGCGAGCACAGGAAAGTTGGCATGATTGGGCACCAGACAGTGGGGAAGGACTGGGCTATCAGAGGCAGCCAGAATGTCCCTACCCAGACAGCCTGACCCCACACAGACACTCAAAAAACAACCCACTCCCCACCCTCAGACCCAGAGGGCTTCTCCCTAGCAGAGGGAAATGGCTAGAAGGGAGAAAGTCTTCCAGCCATGACCTCTGGTCCCAGATTCCAGAAGCCCTCTCATCTGGTTTTGGCTCTGGTCAGAGAGGCCCAGACTTCCCCCTCTTCTCACCTCTACCTTCAGGAAGGGCCCACTTTCACCCCCACCCCTGTGTCATCTCTGCCTCCCACCTTGTCCTTTCAAGCTTGCTTTCGTAAAGGAGGAGGGCTCTCCCTCCCAGGTGGCAGCTGGGGAGGGTGTGGGGAATATCAGTTCTGGGAGGTTATTGTTAGGACAGTCACCATGGCAACAAGCATCACATCTGCAGAGCCAAAAGTGCTGCACATGGGGTTCATTATCCCAAAGAAAGCCACGCCTTCCCTGTCCCCCTCACCTCCAGGGACTGCTGTCATGTGGGAGGGTGTCACCACACTTCCTCTCTCAGGCCCAGCCATCCACCAGGGAGAGCAGGCTGTGGTTCCCAGAGCAGGAAGACCCTAGTCCATCCATCTCCCATCATCTGGCCCTTGACAGGGCACTCCTTACAGGACACAGTGGCAAGCACATGGAGTGGCTATGGTGGTGATGGTGATTATAATGATGGTAATGATGGTGATGGTGGTGGTAGTAGTGATGGTGGTGATGATAGTGATGGTGGTGGTGGTGGTGATTATGATGGTGGTGGTGTCAACGGTGGTGTCAATGGTGGTTGTGGTGGTGATAGTGGTGATGATAATGATGGTGTTGGTGATGGTGGTGGTGATAGTGGTGGTGGTGGTGATGGTGGTGGTGATGGTAATGGTGGTAGGGATGGCGATGGTGATGGTGGTTATGATAATGATGGTAATGGTGCTGGTGGTGGTGGTTGGTAGTGATGGCGGTGGTGATAGTTGTGGTGTCAGTGGTGGTGGTGTCAATGGTGGTGGTGATGGTGGTGATGATAATAATGATGGTGTTGGTGACCATGATGGTGGTGGTAATGGTGGTGGTGATGGTGATGGTTGTGATGGTAATGGTGGTGGGGATGGCGATGGTGGTGGTGGTTATAATGATGGTAATGGTGCTGCTGGTGGTGGTTGGTAGTGATGGCAGTGGTGATAGTTGTGGTGTCAGTGGTGGTGGTGTCAATGGTGGTGGTGATGGTAATGATAATGAAGGTGTTGGTGACGATGATGGCGGTGGTAATGGTGGTGGTGATCGTGGTGATGATAATGATAATGATGGTGTTGGTGACAATGATGGTGGTGGTGGTGGTGGTGATCGTGATGCTGCTGATGGTGGTGGTGGTGGGGATGGTGATGGTGGTGGTGATAATAATGATGGTGTTGGTGACAATGATGATAGTGGTGATAGTGATGGTGATGATGAAGGCCATAGCTACAATTTACAGTTCACTCACCACACGCCCGAAACCATTCTAAAAGTCCAACATCCACCATTTTGAATAAACTTCATAGCATTATCATTACCTCCCTTTTACAAATGAGGAAATCGAGACACAGACTCTAACTGGCCTCAGGTCAGACAGCTAGTTTAGTATTGGCATCTCGATCTGCCTGACTTTGTGGCTGGTTCCTTTAACCACTGTGTTCTGCTCAAGGGTGTCCACCAGCCTTCTTTGTGCAGTTACTGTGTGCCCATCTCTGCCCAGGCACTCAGTCACATCAGGGAATGAGATGGACAAGGATTCTGCCTTTGCAGAGCTTGATAACAAGCAACAAGGATGCATCTAGTACTAATGTTGTATGTAGATTAAAACAAAGTGGTGTGCTGCAGAGTGATAGGGTCGCAACTTCAGAGTGGAAGTCCACGGAAGACCTTTCTGAGGAGGTGATGTCTAAGCTGAA